GTGTTGTGGCAGGAACTAAATCATGATAGTGGGCAAGTGTCTTCACCTCAGCCTGGAGTTTTATCACTTCTAAAGTTGAGATGACACTGATATCCGCCTCTCAGGGTTATTCTGAGATACAGACGTGCAGCCCTCACACAGCGCGTGGCACACGGCGAGGGCTATCTGAATGTGAACTCTCGTCTTCACTGTTGTTTCTGTGCGCTGGGCCCTGCTGCAAAGGTCTTGCAGGAAGTAGTTCGTCGATTCCACATGGTGTCTGGTAAATGAGGAATCGCTGAGCTTCCCATCCTTCCCCATTCCCTGTGGGGTAGATGCCACTGTACCCCACATAGATAAGGGTCCACCCTCAGGTAAGGGGCTGAGGAGTGGGGGGTGCCAGGAGGGAGCCAGCATCGCCTTCCTACTCACTGACCTCCCCAAGGCCAGGCACCCGCCTCCTGTTTGCTACCCACCACATGCCTGGTGGCTTTGCTTGTCGGCGGTGTCTCCCTGGAAGGCCTATGAGGGGTTCCTCCTGGAAATACTCAAGTGTCCATTTTCAAGAAGGGCACTTGTGTGTGTGTCTTTGTGTGCATGTCTCCGAGTGTGTCTGTGTCTTTGTGTGTCTGTATTTGTGTCTCAGTGTGTGAGTTTCTGTGTTTGTGCCTCAGTGTGTGAGTTCTGCGTGTGAGAGTGTGTATATGTGTTTAAGTGTGTGTGCGTCTCTGTGTGTCTCTAGCTGTGTGCATGTACGCACGTGTGTGTTTCTGCCTGTGACTGTGTGTGTCTTCGTGTGTCTGTGTGTGAGTATGTCGCTCTGTGACTGTTTGTGTCTGCATGTGTGTCTCTGTCTGTGACCCTGTCTGTGACCCTTGTCTAGGTACAGGCCTCGGCTGCGAGGTGACAGCAGTGGCTAACGGAGGTCAAGGCTCCTTACTGTTTTCAGAGCTCTAGGATGAAGAAGCAGTGATCAGCAATTGTGGTTTTGGCCTGCACTATTTTTAAAGTTAAAAAAACAACCACTAGCGGAAACTCATTGCCACTTAATAGCTAGGTCAGATTTAGATAATGCTGGCGCCCAGGGCCGCGGCCCTGCTGGCATGACTGGGCGGACTGAGGAGGCCCGATCCTGCCAAACCCCACGGGGTCCTGTGAGACCCGCTGCGCTAACAGCAGTGCAGCCACCACGCTCGCTATGCCGAGGACCCCCCTGTCTTCTCCTGCGTGCCTCGTGCCCTTGCAATGACCCTGTGCAGTGTGGTTTATTGTTCCCATTCACAGAGGGCCACGTGCCCAGGCTCACTTCGTCAGGGAGTCGCAGAGCTGGGGGCGAACCTGATCCTTCTGCCTCGATCCCCTGCCCTCTGTAGGACTCTGCACAGCACCCGCCCCCAGGCCGTTCTTTATCTGCAATCAAGTGCTTTCAAGTGAGGGCGGGGCCGGCCGTTGGTCTGCTCAACCACTGATTTTCCATGGAGAAAGAGGTTTCTTTCAGAAAGATCAATTGCAACAAAATACTTTAAGAGGGAGGAAAGTATAAGCCACCCTGCCATATCAGTGTCACCCACGCCTTTAACCACTTCCTCACCGTGTCCAGAACACAGGCTTTTTATAGCCGAAGAAAATGTTGAAAACACCAGGGACCCATGCTGGAGTTCGCGTCCCACCCTGGCCGTCCTGCAGTTGGCTGTTCAGAACACGGAGCTTTGACCTTGGGGCTTTGACCTTGGGTATCTCGAGCGCATGTGTGTGTTTTCTGCTAAGAAAAAGTACATCCGGTGGTTCTCAGGAAAGCTTCCCCCTCACTGTTGGAAAAATGATCCCGAGGGCACAGGAACCCAGCAATAGCACTAATCATCTCCCTGTGCGTTGCCTGGTCACTGGATGGCAGGCCACAGGCTGGCTGGGTATTTCACTCTGTTGCTGCTTATTATCCGTGGAGCCTGGGGGTTGGGATTCTCCCTCTTTTATAGACACAGAAGCTTATAGTGAGCCACGGGCCGGTGATCACACAGCTCAGCAGCCTTGCTTTGTGCAACTGGCAGCGACCCAGCCAGTACCAGGAGACTCTGAGTTGATCCGAGTGCGTTAAGGACAGAAAACCTTGCAGTCCACCCAGCCCAGGGCAGGGTCTGTGGACCGAGCTGCCGGGCCTGCTCTAAGCAGCTCAGAGCCATTGGAAAGGGCTCCTTGGACACCAGCTCACGCGGTGGCTGTGTCTAGGATCCCCTAGCTCCCACCCATGAGCTTTCCTCTCCCGTGGCTGAACTTCCGACTGCCCAACCTTGCCTTTGACTCTGGCCACACGTTCCTCCTTGGGCCTGACAGCTAAACAGAGATAATAGTAGTAATAGCGCCACCACCTTTCATCAAGAACCTGCCAAGTGTATGAAAGATCCACTTCATGGTGGCTGAGCGCTTGGCCACCGGGTTCAGACCCTGGCTCTGCCTCTTCTGAGCCCTGTGATCCTGGGCAAACCATTCCCCTTTCTGTGCCTCAACTATAAAATGCGATGATGGCATCATCTGCCCTGTCGGGTGGTTGGAGGCTTAAGTAAGTTAATATCTGTGCAATGCTGAGAACAGGCCTGGCACAGAGAAAGCTGCCCTCAGGTTAGCTGGTGATTATTAGGTGTCTCACTCCCATGAAGTCGCCAAGGAGGAACAGGTGTTAATTGACTCTTGTCCCTGTGGAGTTGGAAGCCAGGTCTGGGGGCTCAGAGCTTCTCCCTATGCTGCCTTCAGCTGCCTCTGACTGCATTTAGCATCTCGGATTTGGGGTTCCCATCCTGGTCCTCCCCAGTGGTCTTTGGGCATCCTCCCACGCCATGCTGCCCCCACTCTCAGGCCTGCCCGCAGCACAGGCCTCACCGTGACACCCATGCTTTGCCCGTGAGACTTCCGTCCTGACTCTGAAGCGCAAAGCCCGCCGACACCTTCCGTGGGCAGTGCTTAACGGCGTCCTGTGTGCCAGGACGCGTGTCCAGTGCCCCTCAGCCTCCCAGGCAGCCCCTGGGAGAACAGGCCTCCTCCCGTCTGGGCATCTATTGTTGTCTCTTTTCCACAGCGGGTCACGGCACCAGGGACGAGGGCAAGCATGGGCATCTCACGTCCGGTTTGCAGATCCTGTCAGGGCCCAGTGAGAGCCACACTGCTCTGGCACACCCGTGCTGTGTATGGGGAAACAGCTCTGCATGTCTGACATTTTTAGTTTCTGATTTAGTTAGCTCAGGGTAGGGCCTAGAATTGAGACAAAGATACCCTGTGGAGTGAGCCAGGCCAACGCTCTCTCACAATGGAGAAAGAGCACCCAGTTCAGCTCAAGGATGCACCACCTTGTTCTGGATATAAAAACTCAATCCCATGTAAGGTGGGATTGAGACCACAGCCCGGAGGAGTCCTGGCTCTGACACTCACCGGCTGTGTGACCTTGGGAAAGAGACTGAACCTCTCTGTCCCAATTTCCTCCTCTTTAAGATAAGGAGGTAAAGGACAGCTATGTCCTAGGGTTGTGGAGATTTAAAGAGTTAATATGTGCCAAGTACTTAGGACTATGGGCCCAAAACTTAGTGAGTACTCAATAAATGTTAGTTGTCATTATTATTTTTTGTTGCTGTTAAGTTCCTAGTTCCCGGTACATATTAGGTACTTGATAAATGAGAATTCTCTTTCCATTCTGAGCCTTAGTTGGCTTGTCTGCAAAGTGAGGCAATAATTGTACCCGCCTCATACTGTTGCTGTGAAGATTACATGAGATACAGCAGACCAAGTTCCTGGTAGGGTGGGAACCTGGCCGGTGGTGACAGGTGGTCAATAAGCAACAGTACTCTCAAACCCAGCTTCCCCTTATTACAGACGCGGGGCCTGTGGCCCAGGAAAGTGACTCGTTCAAGGTCAGGCAGCTCATTCATCATAGAAATTAGAGCCCTTCACTCTCCATCGAGGGTCCCACAGCCGAACGCACTCTGGAGCCCAGCTGTCTTCATGCACAGGCTGGCTCTGCCTCTTACGAGATCTTTGACCTTGGTCAAGTTACTTAATTCCTCTATTTCTTTATGGCCGTATTTGTAAAATGGGAACAATAACAGCAACTAACTCACATAGTTGCCGTGAGGATCAAATGAGCTAAAACAGAGGACGCTCTTGAGTTAATCTAAGCCCCGGATCCACAGTCATTCCTGTGACCACCATCAGTCGCAGCAGCACCAGTCACGGCAGTAGCACGAGTGTTACCACCCCTGCCACCACCCTGTGTTGTCCCTGACTCGTCAGGGCAGCCAGTCTCCGAGCAGAGGTAGGGGAGACCCACAGAGGAATGCCCTGGAATCCTGCACTGGCCAAGACCCTTCTCAGCTCCGCTGTCCTACCTGGGCAGATGACCGGATTACACCAGTAGTGGAGGCAGAGACCAGCTTCCTGGCACCCGGCTCCCACCAGTTACGTACATTCTTAGAAAGGCCGTGCTCCCAGCAGCCTGTCATTTTAACAGAGGCTACCCTGACTTTGAGGGAACAATTTATGCTCACAGTGATGGTGTTTTCATCACCTTATAGGTGGGCATCTATTCTAAAGTCCAACTCTATTTTAATTGAGCCAAGAAAGCTTGCTATTTACAGAGCCCCCAGGAGGTGGTGGTGGGATGTGGTCCCACTTTTGCAGAGTTCTCTTCCCAGAGGACTTTCCTACTCTTTGTCCCGGATCAAAAACCAGCGGCTCTTTGCCTCCATACGCACTTCCGCTGCACGGCAAAGATGGCAGACCACCTTGCCCGGTGCAAGGTGGGCAGTGGTGCAAAGTGGGTGCCCTCACTGCACAGGTGGGCAGATGGGGCCTAGGGAGACTGCTGTTCTAGATCATGCAGCTGACATGCTGTGGCTTAGGCCTGGCCTCCCCACACATGCACATCCCCTGGGACCTCCAAGTGTGGAGGAAGGATGTGGAGCTCTGACGTGGCCTTGGGGTCTCTGGGCTGAGCAGGGGAAGGAGATGATCTAGACTTGACCTGCTATCTCTTCCAGGGAGGCTCTGCGCTCTCACCGGCCGCTGTCATCAGTCTCGAGAGGGCCCAGCAGCAGACAGCTGCTTTGGCAGAGGAGGTCGGCTGTCCCACCTCGTCCAGCCAAGAAGTGGTGTCCTGCCTCTGCCAGAAGCCTGCTAGCGTCCTCAATGATGCCCAGACCAAGGTGGGCGTTTGTGTGCAGGTTGGGGACGGGCATCCTCTGGTCTTTTACAAATGGAAAACTAAGGCCTAGAAAGGAGATATGACCCACCCACGCTACACAGTAGATTGAGGGGCAGCTGGAGCTAAAATGCGTATTTCCTGACCCCCAGTGCCGTGCGTGGGCAGCAGTCCGTGGTGGGCCAAGCATGGGCACTGAAGGGAGACAGGCCTCTCTGCAACTCGGGTTTCTTATCTGTAACATGGACATAGTGACGCAGACCTTACAGAGTAGGATAAAATTAAGTAGCACAGGTTAAGGGGACTGCTCCATGCCACCTGGCTTCATAAACGGGCAATGGACTGGGGCCATGTCACTCCCTTAGACAGGATAGCTGTGTGCTCCCTTTCTAGCTACAAAAAGCCTGCTCAAGGCCCAAGTCTCTGGCTGGCCCTGACATTAATGAAGGGGACACTAGCAGGAATAAGTGTTTTCATCTCAAATGATGGCTCCATCCCTCAGCAATGAGTTTGGGACTCACAGCCTTGAGTGGGTCTTATCTTCAGCTCCCAGAAATTTGGGCTAATTCGATCATAACTGAAGCTGATGAACTTCACCTGTCAGAGCCAACACCTTTTCTTCTAGCACTGTCTCCCCCTGCCTTGCCCACTCACCTGCAGGCTCAGGCATACCCCTTCCTCCCTGTGGATCTGTGGTTACCTCGGCAGGGAGGCTCTGGGGTGCTCCCCTGGGGCCACCATCACTGCGTGTGAGCTTTGCCTTGCAGCCCCTGGCACTGCTGCATGGTGTCTTCCTGCCTGTCATTCTGGTCATTTTACTCTTGTTGCCCAAGAGCCCCACATGGACAAGAGCACTGGCATTCACTGTGGTTAAGACATGATTAATCAAAGCGATGCTGCTGGTTATCCCAGTACCATTTTTTCCTCTGATGCAGCTCCTGGCCGTGAGTGGCCCTTTCCACTACTGGGGTCCCGTGGTCGATGGCCAGTACCTCCGAGAGGCTCCAGCCAGAGCACTGCAGAGATCACGGGCGAAGGTCGATCTGCTCATCGGGAGCTCTAAGGACGACGGACTCATCAACAGAGCGAAGGCAGTGAAGGTGAGTGGGGACGGCCGCAGAAGGCCGTGGGGGGGGCATCCCCTGGGGAGTCTGCACTGCCCTGTCTGACTTGGTCCAGAGTCACTGACTGACTTGCTTGTTTACAAAACAATTGGTGAAAAGCTACTATGTGCAAAGGCTGTATGAGTTTGGGAACAGGCAATGGGGGCAGGGGGAGTTCAGAAATCAGAAGACCCTTGCAGGGTAATGAGGAACACAGATAGATTCACAAATGACAGCTGTGAATGAATCACTGTGGAATCCGTGAGCAGGAGCTGACCCAGGGGCTCTGCAGCTTCAGGGCTCCAAGGCGGAACACCCAGGTTCTGGGCCGTTGACACCCCTGAGTCACAAAGCGTGCTTGTCCGGCTGAGAACCGAGGTGAAGAGGCAGGTGGATGAGGGGTCTCTTGTGAGAAAGTTGCCCTTTTCTAACCCTGAAAGGGAAACCCAAACACCGGCCTTCTGAGTTGGTTTCTTACCCGGGAAAACTCCTACAATGCACCTGGCACACACATAGCTTTGTGCAGCTTGCTGGAGGCGCAGCAAAGCGGGAGTGAGCTGTGAGGTCTTTTATCTGCCTGAACACACAGTTCCTGCTCTGACCAGGAGTCATGCGCCAGGATGAGGCTAAGCCTGCAAGAGGCTGAGCACACTCTCCTACCCCCACCCACTGGACAAGCAGCTCTTGGTCAAAGCCCATTAGGTAGTCACATCTGGGGTGGGGTCCCCATGTGCATGTCACACAGGGAAAGGACAACTCTGGATGTGGGAGAAATGCACTGTCCCTGCAGATACCAACACGGCTCTCTGTTGGCTCTTTTGAATATAAGACAGTATGACTGGAATTTCAAAAAACAAATCATTAATGCAACCAAACAGGATCCTGCATTTCTTTGCATTATTCTATTTCCTTTGGGTGATATATCTCACCTTAGAGGCTCCATCTTACAGCAATAAAAACTCTAGCTTTACATGACATATGTACAAGGGTATTTATCACAGCATTCGTTATTGTGGCAAAAAATTGGAAGCAACTCAAATGTCCATTAACAGAGAAATGGTTGACTAAATTAAGCTACACACAAACTATTAAGCATCATGCAGATGTTAAAAAGAATGAACTAGATATATCTCTATTGGCTTGAGGGACGCCTGCGATATGTTGATAAATGAAAAAAAAGATGTCGAGGAATGTGAAATTAAGATAGCATTTATATTTTTAAAAACAATCTGTATATAAAAAGGTGTTTGTTTTTATGTGTTTCTGTGTGAAAGGATAATGGCGTGGGAAGATACACAACAAGGAATTAACATCGGCTACCTCAGGAGGTGTGGGGATGTGAGAAAGAATAATATGAATTAATTACTGCTCATGCTATATATACATATATAATATGTTACATATCATATATGTATATTTGTGTGTATGCGTGTGTATATATATATATATGTAGTGTGTGTATGTGTGTGTGTGTGTGTGTGTGTGTGTACGTATGTATATAGTGAGGAGAGAGAGAGGCAGAAGCAGGGCTGGAGTGGCCCAAATATGAGGTTGTTTTCTAGAAGTTCCCATCTGGAAGGCGAGGTAGCATGTGGGCAGTGGCAGAGGGTCCTCTCTGGGGCCGTGCGTGTGAGTGTAAGTTTGTGTGTGTGTTGCAGGGGGTGGCCTAGAGTAGAGCTCACTCACTCTCAGCTTCCATCTGGTTGACTCACGACCATGGAGAAACACCTTCTGCACCTGATCCAGCTGGCCTTGTGCCGAGCACCAGTACACAGCACAGCCCTTACCCCACGGGGCTGCAACTTTGTTCTTGGACCAGACCACGATTCAGGGAGTGCTGAAAAGATGCCCCTCCTCCACTAGCCCCAGGGTTTTCTTCTCTAAAGCAGGGGTCTTCAAGTTGTTTTTGGTCAAGCACCTCAACGGTTTACAGATAGCAAGCATAATCATTTAAGTATAAATTATATACATGTGTATTGCTGCACTAATAGGCTGTGTATATAAAACATTTATACAAGCACAATATGTTAAAACATGAGAAAGAAACACAAGTCCTAATATTAGTATCCTCTTGCTGCCCCTAAACACACTCCACTCTGGAGATGGTTCTCTGAAGCATGGGCAAGATGGGAGTGAGCTGGCCATTGGCCCCAGGCCCTTTTGGGCAGCTCCTTGTTCAACATTGTCCTGCGGGGGAGGACGTGCACTCTTTGTGCAGAAGATACCATGTCCTCACAGCTCTGCTTCTTTGGACCATGTGCTGAAAACTTATCCCAGCCATCTCTGACTTTTGAAAGACAGAAAGGTCTATTTTTATATTCCCAGGAGCCTTGGGAATCACCCTACACAGGGCCAGTGAGGGTGGGGAGGGAGGAGGCCCTGCTGGCTGTTCCCAAGCCCCTCTCGCCACAGTGGAAATGCCATCTGTCAGGGGGGCTAGGGGCGGGGTTCTCACTGGCAGATCCAGGGCTGTGGTGGTCCAGAGGGCAGCCTAGGCTTACACTGTCTGATTCTGCCAGCCCAGTGTGAGAGGGTGGCCAGGGCACGTAGCTGCCTTGGACTTCCCTGGTTCAGCACTGCCTTCGTGATGTCTTTGGGAGTTTCCTGACTCAGTCCTGAATTTCTCAGCCACTGCAGCCAGGAGCTCGGACCTAGAGGACTAGGATCCCTACTCAAGGATGCATTTGAGTTTCTCTCTATCAATGAGTTTCTTTCTAAGGTTTTTAAGGAGAAGTTTCCATTGTCCACTTGCAAAGAGAGATGGGCCCACCAACAGGAGGCTCACTGCCCAAACCAGGCCAGGCTGGGAAAGCACACACTCGAGCCAGGGACCCAGGGAAAGACAGTCCCCCCTGAGGGCACAGCAGAGCAGTTCCCAGCCCGGTTCCATGGCTGCTACCCAGAACCCCACCCACGGGGCAGTGTTTCGGCAGCACATTTATTCGTTGGTTAGACCGTTCCTTTCTTTGCTTCACTTCTTCATTCGTTTTCTCGGAAACATGAGTTAGTGCAGCCACTGAGCGGTTTTTGTGAGCCTGTGTCCTGCCGGGAGCTCATCCGGGTGCTGGCTGGTGTGGAGGACTGTGGGACTAGAAGCCAGTCTGAGGCTTTCCGTGCCATTTCATGCTGACATCTCCTAAATGTGTACCTCCTGCCTGGACTTGTCCCTTGAACTCTGGACTGGTTTAGCCAATGGTCCATTTGACATCTTCCCTGAGATGTCTCCTAAGTTCCCACCCTATCATGTCCACATCCACAGTGGGCCTCCGATCCCAACTCTGTCCCGCACCTGAGCCAGCATGCTCTCCCGTAGTCTTTGTCACCTCTGCAACTCAGGCTCAACACCAGGAGCCATTCTTGGTGCTGCTCCCTCTTATCCCTCCAGCATTCTATCAGCAAGTCCAAGCGGCTTTACCTTCAAAATGCATCCAGAATCTAACCCCCTCTCCCACCTCTTCCACATTCAGCCTGATCCAGCCATCCTCTTCCTCCAGGATCTTGCCGTAGCCCCCACCATCTCTCTGCATCTGCCTTTGACCTTAGAATCTGCGAGACCCACAGCAGCCAGAGCAGCCCCTTTGCAGTGTAAGTCAGAGCGCATCACTCTTCCACTCCCAGCCCTCACCCCCTGGCCTCCTCTCATGCAGAGGAAAAGCCACAGTCTTTCCAGTGGCTTCCAGAGCCCTGTTTGATGTGGCCCCTGCCAGCTCTCTGACCCCACCTCCTGCCTCTCACCTGGGTCACTGTGCATCAGCCTTATTGGTTAGTCCCTTTGAAGTTTCTCAAATATGCTGAGCACACTCCCACTTTAAGTCTTGGTATTTTCTGTTCCCTCTTCTAGAATGTTCTTCCCCAGGTAACTCACTGTCTCACTTCCTTCAGAGTCTGCTCGTCGGAGAGAACTTGTTTTGCCACTCTGATTGGAAGGGAAGCCACATCCCTGGCATTCTCCCTCCCCTCATCCCATGCCCACCCCAGCACTCATACTTCCTGACATTGATATATTTATTTGTCTCTTGTCTTTCTTTCCCGACTAGAATGTTTGAAACGGCTGTATTTCTGGTGCCTAGAAGTGTGTGTGGTTCTGCCAGACACACTGCACACGGTAGGTGCACAATAAACATTCATTAGGTTGAATGAATGAAACTATGAAGAACTGACTATGTGCTGAGCCTTAACCCAGGCATCTTCAGTGAAATAATTCATGCTCACAACTACTCTACAAGGCAAGGATTATTACCACTATTTTTCAAATGGGAAACTAGTTCAGAGAGAAGCTAGAATTCAAAGCCAGGTCTATCTACCTCCAAAGGCATCATTTTTGCTTTACAGCACTCTGGGAAAAGCCAGGCCTTCCTCCAAGAGCCTTCTACTAAGATGTGTGTGAACTCAGCTAGAATGAGGTCTGCTATGTGCAAAACGCTTTGCAATCCCACCCACATTCTTACTTTGTCTCAACTGTAAGGCTGTGAGGTAGGGAGCTGTGAACCAGTATTTAACATCATTTGCTGAGGAAGAGAGGCTTAGAGAGGTTTAATGATTGTCCCAAGGTCAGCCACCTGGCCATCTGCAAAGCCAAGTCTCCACTCTGGCCCCAAACGGGGTGCTCTATCCATGACCCCTCTGCACTAGACTCCAGAACAGGGATGGTAAATGCACTGGCACCACCTCTACCCCAACCAGACACGGCATCACCCAGAGGAATCCAGAGCAGTCCCGCCCCACACAGGACTGCAGTAGGGTGCTGTGCACACCCAGGAGGCACCTGAGCTACCAGCTGTGCTCCCACACTCCCAACAGCATGGAAGCTCCCCCGAACTTCAAACCATGCTGCTCCCGGGTGCCCTCAAATTGCCTGCCCTGACTCAGCCTGCTGGTCACCTGCATTTAGAGTTGAGTTTGTGCATTTTTCCATTCCCCACTGGAAGGCTCCATGGCACCTGAGTCCAGCCACCATTAGCTGAGGGGGACCCGAGGATGGCACATTCCCCAGGGTCTCGTTCCCAGCAACTCCTTCTCCTCAGTCCTCTGTCCTTTCATACTTGCCCAGACCCATCTGGGGCTGAGAAGCAGGACGTACCAGCTGCAGAAAATCACCCCATCCACCAAACAGGGTGTCAAGCATGTTCTTTCTAACACTGAGACCTGTTTGTTCAGTTATACAACATTTACGAAGTCACTTACTATGTGCCAGATTCTGAGCCAGGTGTTTGGGAGATAAATACAAATTAACTTCCTCCCCTCAAGGGGGCTCACAGTCAGCTACGGAAACAGAAAGTGAACAAGGCAAACAACTGAACTGCAATTTGATACACACAATATGGACAGATACACATCTATTCCAGGACCTCAGGGGTGGGGGTGGGGAGCAGTAGCAACAGGGCCAGCTGGGGTGCCATAATGGCCAAGGAACTGACCAGGACCCTGCTCCCTCAGCCGTCTGTCAGCAGAGCGAGGAGAGTGTCCTGGGTGTCCTTGGCTTGTAATCAGGACCATTCAAGTTCCCCAGAGCCTGAGCCTCAGTTTCCCTAACTGCAAAATGGGGAGATTATATTAGTAAATATCCTCATAAAGATGCTCAGAGGATTCAGATATTTACCAATGTCTGGAAAATAGTTTTGCCTCCATGACGGTTAGTTTTTTCATTTAATTCTTTAATTTTGCTTTTGAGTGTCCAAAACTATTGGCCCTTGTCCAGAGAATTCTGCACGGAAAGCAGGAATACAAAGATTACGTGCCGTCACTGAATCACCTCGCCTGACCTGAGACTAGTTGTCCCAGTCGTACCAGATGCACACACACACACACACACACACACACACACACACACGTGTCCTCATGCCAGCCTTTCATAAGTACCACCCGGAGCCCACTCCACAAACACACGCATTCCAGCTTCCCGGGGAAGTCTCAGGAGGGACAGGAGCCTCCTTGCCCCAAGTTCAGCCCCCTGGACCCACCCATCAGCTCAGCAGAGACCCACCAAATTCCATCAGACCAAAGAGGGTGGGGGGGTAGGGGCTCACCCACTTACCACCCCAGGCCAACTATGGCCCACTCAAGGAATCCTAATGACACACAGGAAAGTTAGCAACCTACCGGTGGAGCTTCAGGGCTGCCTGAGATGTTCTCCATTCGCCGTGAATGATCTTATTTTCTGAAGTAGCAGCTTTCTGTTGAAATTCTTCATCAGTCGCTGTGGTGGGGAATTGTCCCCCCTTTTCTCTCTCTCCTCCTAACTGGTGAAATTGACAGTCTGCCTACATTAACGGGGCATTCATTTGCATGATCAAAAGCAGATTTGTTCCAAGATACAATGTTCTGCCTTCCCCTCCAAGCACAAGCATCTCCAAGGAAGGCAGGAAAAATCCGAAGCAGAGCGCGCTGCCGTGCCCCTGAGCTTGGCCAGGAGCAGGTGGAGTGGGGGCCTGTGGGGAGTGGTGGGGGCAGGGCAGCCCGTTTGGGAGTGGGAAAGCAGCACCTGGCAGCCCGAGGCGCTGGCACTGGCCCCAGCACAGGAATATCTAGCCTTTGGTGACAGATTATAGTAAGAGGAGCACGCAGGAGTCCCCAGCGTGTGCAAGAGCTTTCCTGAAAAGAGGCGCTGTTGCACCAAATCCCCAGCACTCGGGGGCGGGGTGTTAGGTGCTGGACCCAGGGCCTAATGGGGACCTGGATTCAGAAAAATGTGTCTCAATTCCTGGCTTTAGCCACGCAATTTAGGCAAGTTGCCTACCTATCTGAATTGCAGTTTCTTCAGCCTTCAAATGGACACAGTGGGAACCCCCTGCCTGTCTGCTGTGGTGTCATAGGAGGACTCCTGAGCGAAGGAGACAGGTCCCAACACCCGGGGAGCCCTGGCACCCTGTAGAGCCTCACACCAGTGCGGTGACCCAGGCCTCACAGCCAACGCTTACGTGTCAAATCCTAAAAATTATATTTCATGACTGTATAAGTGTTAATATGATGATGAGTGCAAACCAGGCTGGATTCATTATTATATGTTTGTTATTATGTATTTATTTCTTCTGATTTTAAAAGACATTAAAAGAAAAGACTTTTGAGGGTCCCTAAAAATATCATGAGCCCTCAGCACTGAGCCAGCCGTGCCTGATGAAGTCAGCCCCTGTCCCTTAACACCACGGCGAGCGGCACAGTCGGGAGTCACCTGTGTGTCAATTCACATGTGTCCCCAGCGTCAATTTGTTAAGAGGCTGCTATGTGCTGGACGCTCTTCTAGGCTCTAGAGGGAAAAGTTGTAACCAAAACAAATAAAGCCCCCGACTTGCAGAGTTTATATTCTCGTGAGAGGACACAGACCATGATGTGTACGTAAATAATTTCAGATCTGAAAAGTGCTGTGAAGAACATTGAAACAGGGTCATTGTAGAGGAAGTGACAGATGAGAAAAGGCTTTTTGAGGAGGTGACTTTTGGATAGACCTGAGTGATGAGAAGGACCCTGCTCTGGGGACATTGAAGAGAAGAGCTGATGCAAAAGCCCTGAGGCAAGGTTGGCCTTGGCTGTCTGGGGGACACGGGAAGGCCAGCGTGCCAGGAAACCCAGGGGACGGGAGGGCGTGGGAGGAGAGGACACCGATGTGTGGAGGGCAGCAGTCAGATGGGATCTTGTAGGCCAGCAGAAAAGTGACTCCATTCTCCTTAAGTGGGCAACTATTGGAATGTTTCAAGCTAGGAAGTGATTATATTGATTCACCTTTCTTATATTTTAATACTTTTTTAGAGACAGGATCTTGTTTGTTGCCCATGCTGGAGTGTAGTGGTGCAATCATAGCTTACTGCAGCCTTGAACTCCTGTGCTCAAAGGATCCTCTAGCCTCAGCCTCCTGAATAGCTGGGACTACAGGCATGCACCAACATGCCCACCTAATTTTTTAATTTTTTTGTGGAGATGGGATCTTGCTATATTGCCCAGGCTGGTCTCAAACTCCTGGGCTCAAGTGATCCTCCTGCTTCAGCCTTCCAAAATGCTGGGATTACAGGCATGAGCCATGGCACCTGGCCAATTTACCTTGTCTGAAAAGAGCATTCTGGTAGCTACATGGAAAAGTAAGGAGAAGTAACAGAAGAAGTAGAGACTAGATTGCACTCTGTTGCAGAAACCGAGGGAGCAAGCTAGTAACTTAAATTAGGGTCCTAGACATGGTGACGGTGAGAAATGATCAGATTTGGGACATATCTTGGATTGGTAGTTGGGTATATGAGTTGGGAGTGTAGGAGAGAGGTCATGGCTGTAGATACAAATTTGGAAGAAAATTAGGAAAATGTGTTGTCTGAAAAGCCAAGAAAAGAAAGCATCTCCAAAAAGAAGCAGAGGTCAAGTGTCAATGTCACAGAATCAAATGAGATGAGGGCAAATAGCAAGGTCTTTGGCCTGGGATCGTGGGGTGTAGGTCATGGGGGGCCTTAACGTAGGGGGCTTTCAGTGGAGTTGGGGGAAGGGAGGCTGATCGGGGAACAGGGGAAGCATCCCAAACCCACCCTCTTCCCACTGGACGTGAACAGCCAGCCGCTGTCATGGAGCACTCTGCTCACTCCCGAGCTGGCCTCTCTGACTTTACCAGGCTCTGTGCCAGGGCAAGACTTGTGTCGCGTGTATTTCGAATGCTCAGGTCTTGGCCAACGGTAGGTTGGTCTTCAATTCATGTCCCTCAAATGAACAAAGGGATGTTTATGTCTCCATCTACCCCAGAGCTCCAGAGAATTCTGGGGAGCATTCATTCATTCATTCACTCCTCCAGTCTTGCAAGAATCAGATGAACTCTGAGGCTTCCTGTTTTTCCTTTGGGGATTGTACTCTGGGTCTGCTCCTTCTCAAATCACTTTGCAAAACTTAAAGAGTGACCAATGTACACAAACTGATCACAGACTTGTGTACAAAGAAATCCTTCCACTCCCCACCCCCCAGAGCAGCACCCTGCTCCCACCCCAGGATGGGTAGGGGGTTATGGGGAGTGAGCCAGGACAGCAGCAATGGTGGACAGGAGGATGGGCTCAGTCTCACTCAGCAGGAGAATCATCAGGAAAGGCTACGGCAGAATGTGGGGGATGGGATGCAGGAGGAATCAGGAAGCACCTGCTCTTTGATCAGGGGACTGGGGGCTCATCTTAGTCATTGAAGATAGGAAAAGAGAAAGGGAAGAATGTTCTAGAGATGAAGAAGAACACATAGATGACGACATTAAACTGTGCGTATGTTGAGTTTGAGGGGCCTGAGAGATTTCCAGGCTATGGGAGACATTTGGATGTGCAGGAGCCGTTCGCTTGCAGGCCATTGTCCAAGCAAGGAGAGGAGATGGCCCCACCCCTGAGCATGCCTGGACAGAAGGGGAGGAGAAGGGGGCAGGAATGGCAGCTGGGGCCTCGAGTTCAAGAGTAGGGTCCAGAACTCAGCCTGAGGCAGAGTCGACTGGGGGAGAAAAATGGGGGGGTCGAGACCATCAGTGACCTTGCGTGGGGTCACTGGATGGGGCAGAGAAGCCAGATGGCCGTAGGGCGACGAGCGAAGGAAGGTGGACAGATGGAGACCACCATGTGGACATGCTCATTGAGTGCCCGCTTGGGCTGGGAGCGCCAGGCCAGCAACTCAGCTCTAGGTGAGCATGGGTGTCACAGAGAGATGCATATTGAAGGTCCGAAGGACCCAGGCGCAGTTTGCACAGCAAGGGTCCTCAGAGTGCTGGGCAGTGAAGCCTCAGCGTCTGAGGGGAGGAGGGTGTCTTGGTCCAAGAGGAGGAAGGGTTTTCGGATGGGCCATTTCCGTGACAAGTAGAGGGCAACGTGGCCGGCAGAGAGCCCTGAGGATGACATTGGGGTTTGCAGCAGCGTCCCGGGATCAGGGTGGTAGGAGATGGAGCTCGGGGAAAAGTGTCCAGGGGCCAGTTAACCCTTTACTGGGGCCCTGCAGAGCTGGGGCCAGTTCAAGGATATCTGGCCTGCTCTGTGCCCCGCGTGCCTGGCAGGTTGCACCCGCAAACCACAGTGGAGGAGCCCTCTCCTGGGCCCCACCCAAAGCAAAAATTGGGGTGAGGCCCCCCCAGCCACTCGGCTCCCCATTCCCTCTGGCCTCACCCCTGCTCGTCTGCCTTGCCAACTCCACTGACCATACTGCTGCCCTCCTCACCCAGCTGCCCACAGGTCTGACCCTCGCCCCCTCCAACCTGGGCCCAACTCTCCTGCGTGCCGCCCACTCCGACAACCCGGCAAGCGCCCCTTCCCCTTCCCTGCTCCGTGCACTGGTCTCCCTCCTCCCTGAGTACTGACCACCCCTGGACAGGCCACATGGCATAGGTGTGCTGTGTGTCGGCAGCCTGTGCCGTTGGCTGGAAGGCCCCTGCGGGCAGAAAACAGCCTGTTTTGTTCACTGATGTGTCCCAAGTGCCTAGAGCTGCTCCTGGCACACACAGGCGCTTGGTGGATAGTTGTTGAACGAGCAGTGACTTGAAGGGCAACCAAGAGTTTTCCATCACATCGCTCAGACACCACCGGGCGTGAGCACAAGGACATTTCTCACCTGCCTTATCGATTTGATTTTTAATAATTTACTAGCTAGAGTCTGTCTCCCTCGTGTCAGCCGCTTTATAATCATTAATTCATTTCATTCTAACGTCGACCCCATGCACTGGCCTGACGTGGAGGCACAGATGGGCACATTCACTGAACAAATGTGCTGTGGAGATGGATCACCTGCGGCCACAGACCAGGGCCAGAACCGAACCTGGGTCTCTCGAACGCCAAGTTCCATGCTCAGGCCACTCGGCCGCAGGCATCCAGGCTGACAGCGAGTGTCTCTCAGAGACTCTGAGGTGCTCCAACTTCTCATGAGGATGTGTTAACGGAGGGCTCTTTACACACACACCGAGGGCTCACCATTCGTGGTAGCCCCTTCGCGGAGGTCCTGCCAGTGACAGATCCTCTGTCTGAGGCAGATCTTGCCTATAATTACAGCTTGTGGCAGCCTCGTCACAGGCACATGGTGGCCCCGGCCCCCTCCTGCTGACTCTCTAATTAAACTGGCAACCACATCTGCGCCCTGGTTCTTGCCAAGAATGAAGAGATGTGAGTCCCAAGTCTTGCTGGGAATGTGCCCCTCCATACTCCCTGGTGCCCCCGTGGTGCTTGGACCCACGCTCTGGCCGGCTCTAAAATACTGACTGGTTGGCAAGGCCACACCCAGTGAGTGGCTCAGGTCCCCTCAAGAGGTGGAACTCTAATCTCAGTCTCATGGAAGCATAAACTGGGCCCCTCCCTTGAGCTTCCTAGCTGCGAAGCTCGTAGAGACACTTCCTTTCGCAGTACCCTGGGCTTGGTGTCCTAATGCTCTTCCAAGCTACCTCATCGTGGAAGAAGTCTCCCCAGAACCATGAAGAACCCATGAAGGAGGCTCCATCCTTGAGGTGGGGTCAGTCATTCTCTAGCAGCGATTTGCAAGAGGGTTCCAAGTGCTTGGCCTCACCCTCGATGGGGACGGTGCTGCTCAGGCCTCTTTCTCTAAGACACGGGCTCTCCCTGGCCTGTCCGAACTGGCCTCAAGGCTGAGTCTACAAATATCTAGCAGCAATAACAGCAGACATGGCGCTAAGCCCTTTATGCGTTTTATCTCATTTGACCTCACGTCAGTTTTATGAAGGGTAATATTGTTTTGTGCCCTTTTTACAGACAAGGAAACAAGGCACAGAGAGATTAGGTAACTTGCCTGAGTTCGCACAGCTGAGCAGTGGTAAAGTTAGCATCCAAGACCAGATCTTTCCAACCCTGAGATTTGAACCCAAGAGGCCTGACTTTAGAATCCTGCTTTCAGCCTCTGCCTGTCTTACCTCCACAAAGGCCAGTGCCGCCTCTGCTTGTTCACGACGCACATATTTACTGTGAAGTGTCTGGCACTGCGCTGCCCCCGGGGCTGCTGCCACGACCCTGGCCTTCGCTGTGGGCTGGTTCTGGAGCAGCAGGCAAATAAATTGGCAGCAACAGCACCAGGGGCCGCGCCTGGGACAGGCTACTAATAATCACACATTTATCGACGACATGCCGAGTACTGTGCTAAATGCTTTACTGCATGTTTCACTGGAATCTGATGGTAATACTATGCAATAGGCATTTTCCATCATCCACCTGTGTAAATAAGGAAACTACGGAGAGATAGTAAGTGATTTACTCAGGGTTGCAGACTGCAAGGGTAAAACTGGGCTTGGGTCCCAGGTGGTTTGATGCCAGGGCCTGCCTCCTTAGCCATTACCTGTCCTGCTTCCTGGAGGAGGTGACCCCTGAGCAATCCTGGATGTTCTGGCACCTCGTTACTGGTGGCGAAGTCCCCAGAACAACAGCACCAGCATGACCCGAGAGAACTTGGTAAAGTGCGCTTCCTTGGACTTCACGCTAGACCTGCACATCTGACGCACGATGGGTGGTCGGTGCATGGTGCCCACTCCGATCCTGGCTGCTCCCTTGGCTGGTGGCTTCAGATCATGAGCCAGTCAACACTATCCCCGTAGCTCAGTGCTCTCATCTAAGCTCCAGCAAGCAGCCTTGCGCAGGGAGGATGCACCTTATTAACTCAGTCCTACTGCTCTGGAGCCCAGGAGGGGCTGGTGCCTTGGCTGGAGGCTTCACTATGGCCCCCTCATATGTTATGCATTAGGAAATGGTGCCCAGAGAGGGACAGCCACTTCCCTGAGTTTGCACAGTGATTGTCAGCAGAGCTGGTGCCGGCACTCAGAGGTCCTGTTGCCCAAGCCCAGCTGTGGCTCCCTCATGTCAGGGCTTGAAGGCAGGTTGTGCCTCCCACGTGGCAAAGCAGCCTGGGGAGAAGCCACTTCAGTGCTGCCGTCACCCTTGTGCTTGTACCCTCCGGGCCCGCAGAACTGAGCCCCCTCCCAGGGCTTTAGACCCACCCAGTATCTTGGGCAGGGATGTTATGAATCCCCTTATTATTATGTAACCCTCTGAGCAGTGAGCGGCCCTGGACTTCCGCCTGTCACTCTGCCCTCACTTGTCACCCAGTCCCCTCGGCCATGGAGCAGGGTGAGCAAACAGGCTGTGGCATCGTTACAGAACAACTGGGCTACTATATTGTCTGCACAGTTTTTCAAAAATTCATATGAAGAAATGAGGATAGAATTAAAAGTAAGAGGAAGCTTTCTTCCATGAAGATAGACACACATCACATTTTTAAATGTTTTCCTCCTTTAATAAAGTGGTTTGGGGCTTTGTGTTCATTCTTCAGTTTTCTAACTGAAGTCAATGAAGCCCATTATTAATAAAAATAGGTAACTTTTATTAAGTGCTATATGTCAGACTTTGAGCTAGGTGCTTCAAAACATTATTTCTTCAAGACAACACTGTGAAGTAGATTTTACTTAAGTCCATTTTGCCTGTGAGGATCAGAGAGGTTAAGTGGCTTGCCCAAAGTCACACAGCTGGAAAATGCAAGAAATAGGATGCAAACTTGTGTTGCTGGCTCTGGGCCCTTGCTCCATGCACTGAGACTTGCTGGTTCCTCTCAGCCCACATCCACAAAAGGCCAGCCACGACTTGCCGTGGAACACTTTCAGGTGGCTGCTTTGTTCCCTTAATCCTCACAGGAGTAAAAACAGGACCCGTCTCAATATGATCAACCCATTTTGAAGATGTAAGGCTCAGAGAGAGATAAAATATTTTTTCCAAGGACCCCCAAAAGTTGGCAGTTGACACTTGAACTCTAAATTTTGACTCCAACGTAAGGCTCTTTTCATAGCTCTGGACAAAGCACCCCCTAGGCAGACTTTCCATCCTGCCATGTGCTGACTCCCCAGTGTCACACCTCTGATGTGGGGTCCTGGTTAAGTCACAGCCAGGGGGAAAAGACCTGAGTCTCACCAGCAGTAGGACCTGGGGCTAAACCCTGGCTCGTGCTTCCTGTTTGTGTCACCCCAAGCCAGCTAGGTAGATTCTCTCAGCCTCAGAACTATGGTTTGTCAAATGCAATAATAACGTGATGCTCAACGCACGTGGTTATTTTCATGCTTCAGTGAAACGCACATGTGAAATTGTTAGCACAAAGTTTGGAAATAATATGAGGTGTGACAATGGGTATTAAAATCATTTTTGTAATAAAATATTGCAGTCAGAAAAGGACAGAGAATAATGTAATGCTGTTTTCCCCCACACTGTTGGTAGGTTGCGAGGTCAAGACAACAGATTACAGTAAGCATTTTTTGAATACACTGGATTGGACTAGAATGGAATAGAATGGAAATTGTCAGAGGCATCGTATGTGGTAAGAGTTAGGAGTGTGAATGTTATTTCTGACTGTTATTTCAGGTGTGTGAGTGTGCGTGTCTGTGTGTGTCTGTATGAATAAAATAACTTTCTTACGTGATCGAGGTCTTTGATGATGCTCAGAAACATTTAAAAGTCATTGATATGAAAACTCGTGTATTGACTATTCAGATTTAACAGATATTAATATGCTGTCATATTTACTCCGGGCTTTTTTCCAAGAAATAACATGTTACAGATAGGATTAAAAGGAAGCCCCCTTTGCATACTCTCCCGGCTCAGCTGCTGAACCTCCTCTGAAGCCGGCACATAGCTGCCGGTGGACGTGCCTTTGATCAGCGATTCCACTGACTCGGTCTGGTCTCTCATCATGAAGCCGGGCTGAGAGGCAAGAATGTCCTCACCCAGGAGGGGCTGCTCACGATCGTACCCACTCCTTGAATCCTAATCACAGGCTCTGTGTGCTTGGAAATGTTTAGAGAAGCAATTTAAACATGCCAGGGTGTGCTGATAAGCACGTTTCACCGTTTACATGAGATCCTAGAATTACGTAAACACGTATCGCAGGGCTGCGCAAGGGCCGAGGAGCCCGGGCCTCACACCCGGAGCTTCATCCCTGACGTGCCGCTGCCCCTGGTCTTCCTGGGGGAAGGAACGATCTGGCCCAGAGCCCCACAGCGCAGACAGCAGCAAAGCCAGGGCAAGGGAGGACTGGAGGGAGGGAGGAGGAGCAGAGGGAGGAAAGAGAGAGAGAGGGAAGAAAAGGGAAGGGAGGAAGATGGGGCGGGAAGGAAGGAAAGAGAAAAGGGGAGCATTGCTCCCATCTGGACATGCCCCCCGCAGAGAGCCGCACGCCCTCCCTGGCCGTCCTACATGAAGTAGCCCCTCACCCTGGCATTCTCGAGCCCTCATATCCTGCCTCATTTTTCTTCGTAGCACCTTTTCCCTGATGAACTGTACCCTTGTCTGCTTATTTTCCATCTCTGCCCAGCAGAAGGTGAGCCCCACGAGATAGGGAGCTTGATCGGTGTGTTCCCAGCTGTTTTTGCAGAGCATGTGGTTGGCCCTGGACGAAGAGTACGTTTACCCAGAGAAAAGTGTGCAGAAAGTGTCAGGTGATGGACGGCAGAGTCAGTGAATGAAACTGAATGTAGCTCCCCTAACAGCATCAGACCACAGTTACTCGTGAGCCTGCTGAGAGAGCAGCCCAGGTAAACCCAGCGAGACACAGGTGTGTGACCTGTCCTCAGGTTATGACAATGGCTAACATTGACCGAGCACTTGTTAAGCACCAGGCACCATTTGAGGCACTTCCTGTAACCCTGTGTGGAAGGCGCTCCCGTTTTCAGCTGGGGAAGCAAAGCACAGAAGGGCACGGCCATTTGTTTAAGGTCACACAGCTAGGAGGCAGAGCTGGGATTCAAACTCAAACAGTCTGGCTCCAGCACCTATGCTCTTAATGCCATGTGCTGCTGCTTCCCAGAGAGAAAATTCTAGAACAAGGTCTTGAGGGACACTGACTTGGTCTTTCAGAATCTAACTGAGGAATTCCATGTCCGCTTTTTTAGCAATTTGAGGAAAGTCAAGGCCGGACCAGCAGCAAAGCAGCCTTTTACCAGGCGCTGCAAAATTCCCTGGGAGGCGAGGACGCCGATGCCAGCGTCCGGGCCGCTGCCACGTGGTATTACTCCCTCGAGCACTCCACAGACGACTACGCCACCTTCTCCCAGGCCCTGGAGAACGCCACCCGGTAAGCCAAGCCACTGCTCTGTCTGGAGCTGATTCAGTTGATGTTCAGGTCATGAAAGAGAAATGAGGGCGTGCTGCTCTGTGTTTGCGGTTCCCTCTGCGTCATTCATCCAGTCCACAGCATGGGGTGACTTCCCGCCAAGGGGCAGCCCTGGGGGATGTGGGGGTGGACCCTGCTGCCAGGGAACCCCAGGCCAGAGGGAGAGATGAAGGGAGCCTCTGACTCTTAGGGAGCCATCGGAGGGCAGAGACAGGACCTGCCAGAGGTGCCTGTCCATGCTCCGCGAGATGAAGCCACCGCTCAGCAAATGCTCGGGGACAGCCTGCTACACACCTGGCCTCACGCTCACCGAGCCCGGTGCCCCAGAGCCTGGCCACATGTCAGACCTTCCTGGGGGCATTTAAAGGGCAGTTGACACACAGGAACCATGTCAGCTCCCCCAGCTGACTCTACTGAGCGGCTGGAGTTCTGGGAAGCAAGGCTTGGGCGGGGAAGGTTTTGTGCCTGAGGCTATACCCCAAACGGGCGCAGGCCCAGGCTCTGATGGCCACCCAGGCCCTCTCTCCGGGGCAGCTGTTTCTTTTGCGCACTGGTTATGTGCCTAGACCCGGTTCGTGGCTCAAGCTTCTCTCACTCCAGCATGCTGCTGGGACCTCACCCCACAGGCCCTGCTGTCCCCAGTGTCCCTTTCCAGGGAAGCCTACTGGGACCCCACCCCTAGATGGCACAGGCCCTGCTGTCCCCAGTGTCCCCAGTGTGAGCTTGCTGGGGCCAAGAACTATCTTGGATGCACAAGGAATGATTTTTGAATGGAAATAAAGAAATAACCAGGGTTCCGGTTCTCTCTTTCTTCAGAGGCCCCTGGGGATGATACCAAAGTGGGGACGTGGCTCTTGGGTCACCTTTGAGCCCCCTCACAGGCCCTGACATGCCCTCGGTTTCCTTTGCAGGAAGAATGTGGTGTGGGGTGTGGGGTGGTTGCGGCATCCTGTACCTTCCTTTCTCTCTCCCTCTGGGGGGTCCGAGCTCCCCTGCTTGCCTCTCGCTCTTTGTCCCTGGGGACAGAGCCAATATCATGGCCTTCGCTGAACTTGACTCTGTGGGTAAGGGATGGGCTGGAGGGTGTCAGAGACCCACTGCTCTGCTGTTCCCTCCACAGGGAGTTTGTGGTTTCCAACCTGAGGTCATCAGTTTAGAATAAAACTTTGTACCACCCACTTGGATCTGGGGAACCAGAAAGGCTTTAATTTTCCCTCTAGTGGAGAGCTGCGCTTTAAACCAGACACCCAGCAAATGCTATTTCTGGAGGCCTTGCCTTGGGCGGGACCGTCAGAACTCACGGATGTCCAGTCCCTGACCCTGAGAGGCTTGTAATCAAGTCAGCACTGGCCCAGATCATGCGTGGAGAGAGCCCAGGGCTGGAGGTCAGAGAACCTAGGCTCTGGTTCAACTCTGCCTTGCCTGGCTGCGAGGACGCCCTGCACACTGGGGTGAGCGCTGAGGGCTGAGAGAGGGCGGCATAACCAAGGGAGGTGTCACTGCAGTCTCGGCTCGAGGGCCTCCTGCCCTCCAGTGTCCCTGGAAGGGACCCTCCCTTGGCCAGCCGTAGGTCTGAGCCCATCCCTGTGCTGCAGCTCACACACCTTAGGGGGACCACGAGAGGAAACACAGCTGCCTTCGTCTGCCCTTCACGACTCCCACGGCTGCCCCACTGAGAAGCCTCATCTATAAGCACTCGAGTCGCCCTGCAACCTCACCAGAGGTTTCCCTCTCAATGACCAGAAAAGGAGGGTGGGCGGCCCTCCTAGCTGAAGGCCTTCTGTGGGTGTTGTTAGACTTGGTCACTGCAACATCCCTGCAGGGTAGGGACCATTGGCCCCGCTTCTCAGCTGGGAAGATGGAGATTCAGGGAGGTGAAAGAATTACTGAGAACCTCACCTCTACTCCGCAGCGCAGACGGATTCACACCAGTGGCCTGCTCCCTCTTTGAGCACACAGCCCGCGCCTCACCACGTGTGGGACCCCCCAGCTGTAAGCTGGTGCTTCTGAAATTTATTCATTCATGTTACCCCCAAAGCAGGAGCACCTATGAAACTTCAGGAGTCTAAGGCAGGGTTCTGCAACCTCCTTCCTTCTGATACTTTGAGCTGAATCCTCCTTCACCATGGGGTGCCTGTGCATTGGAGGATGTTCGCAGCACCCTGGCCCCTACCCCTACCCACCAGACACCAGCAGAGGTTGTCCCACCCCAGCTGTGACAACCAAAGATGCCTCCAGACATTGCCAAACATTCCCTGGGGGATGGAAGAGAGGGGGGCTTGGCAAAATCACCCCCTGTTGAGAGCCACTGGTCTCAAGGTGTCACATGCATGAACTATGCTTGAGAGCTCTGTCTTCTTTGAGATACACCATTATTTTGTGCTCTTCTCCACAGTATATTGCATTTATTTTCCTATGACATGTTTTGCTCTCAAACTTTAAGTAAAATTGATGTTCCAAGATGATGTGTATCCCATGGGTTAACATGAAGTTGACTCCTGAGATGCGTCACCATGGACATCAGTTTTCTATCATGGCCACGTACCCGAGGGGCCATGTGCTGTGCCCCGGCTCTGCCTTCAAGGCAGCAGGGGAGCCACGTGGAGAGGATCGCTGGGGAGTGTGAGGAGGGTGCTCTCTACAGGGCTGGGCAGTGGGGGCCGAGGGGCCCCCTTGCCAGGCACAGTTGTCCACAGAGCTACGTGTAACCATGTTCCTCCTGTGTCCTCCTTTTGCTAGGGACTACTTCATCACCTGCCCCGTGATCGACATGGCCAGTGTCTGGGCGAGGAGGGCCCGAGGAAACGTTTTCATGTACTACGCTCCCAAAAGCTATGGCCGTGGCAGGTAAGGCAAGGAAAAGATTTTCAAAAGAAGACAAGAAGAAGGTTTGCTTTTCATAACTCCGTTAGCTGAACAAAGGAGGCAGAGCGGCTAAGTGATGGGGAAACACGATCTCAGCCACAGAGTCTGAGAGCAAAGCAAGGAGGGCAGTGGGTGCATGGATGTCCAGGGCTTTGGAGGGAGGACTGTGAGGCCGCCTGTTCTGTGTCTCATGACCTCGCAGTCCTGAGCCATTCACCGTGTGGGGAAACCCTGGAACCTATTCTAATGTGGCAGTGACTCCTCCACTGAACCACATCAAATTCGCCTCTTCACATTGAAGCACCTTTGGGAAGACTTTATACTCCTCCAAGGGCAAGAAAGTAGCGAGGTCCTCATGCCCCCCCCCACCAGTAGGCACCCACAGGTAGCAGACCATCAGGGCAACCTGTCTCCAAAGAGGCAAGAGTGTTACTATTTCCTTCCATGTAAGAATGGAAGCAAGGCCTGCCATGTGGGGTCAAAGGCATTAATCACCCACATCCATGGTGTATTTTGTGGGCCACAGGGAGATAGGGTGCAAGGACACCACCTTCAAGGTGAGGGTCTAGCCCCACCACTTCCAGCTGTGCTATCTTGGGCAGGCTCCTTTGCCTCTCTGATCCTCCATATCCTCATCTATAAAATGAGGCTCATAATCTTCCCTCTCAGGGTCGGCATTAACAGTATCTGGGACATAAATCATCCAGCTCTTAACAGGGTTTTACCCTGTGTTGCTTTGCAAGGCATCAAGGGAAGTCTTACGAACATACATAATTTATCGCTATAATTAGCAACGTCCCCAGAGTAGGCTGAGTAATGGCCACCCAGAGATATCCGGTCCCAATCCCTGGAACCTGTCAATGTTACCTTATAAGGAAGAAGAGTAGGGCAGGTGGACTAGGTCAAGGCTCTTGCCATGGGGAAATTATCCTGGGTTATCCTGAGTGGGCCCTAAATGTAATCACAAGTATCTTTAAAAGACAGAGGCAGAGGGAGGTTTGCTGTACAGAGAAGAGAGAAGGCAGTGTGACCACGGAGGCAGAGATTGGGGTGGCGTGGCCATAAGACAAGCAATGCCAGTAGCAACGAGAGCTGGGAGAGCAAGGAATGGATGTTCCCCCAGAGCCTCCGGAGGAGTGTGTCCCTGCTGACACCTTGATTTTGGCTCAAACTGATTTTGGACTTGTGGCCTTAGTGTTATAAGAGAATAAATTTCTATAGTTTTATGCCACCAAGTTTGTGGTCATTTGTTACAGCAGCCATGGGAAACTAACACTGTCCTCAAGGCATTCAGATTTCCCTGAAGCACCCTTTATTTACCTGGTTTCCCCAAATAGATGATTCCATTTTTATAGCACTCCACAAAAGCATCCTGAATCCTTGTGGGGTTGGCAGGGTTGAAGTAGTTATCTCAACAGGGACACAGACCTTTAGACTGTAAAGAGTCTGGGGTTCAGGGAGTTCCACACGATCCCATCGAGGACAAGCAGCTGCTTAGTTACAGAGGAGCAACCCACTCAGCTGCTCTGAGCCCCGGACCCCCCTTTCAACTAGAAGGTGTGGTCTCTCTGCTTAGAACTATTTATAACTTCAACCTAATCCACCTCCTAGACTCAAGCAACTGCCTTCAGGTTGTAAGAAGGAAAATGAACGTCAGGCCGGGGTTCTGGTAAGGTCTGTAGGAAAGAACGATGCAGAGAGCCGTGTGGTTTGGGTGGAGATGAAAGGTGCCCTGGTAACCCAGTGGTCTGTGGCCACCCACACCCAAGGAGGCCCAGCGTGGGACCCAGCGTAGAACCAGCCTTGGCGGTATCTCCCAATGCCAGGACTCTCAAGAATCCACTGGCAACGCACTAGTTCTTTTGTCTGGTTCTCTGCCTTCCTCTCTTTCAAGGCAGAGATTATAATGAAAGGTGTAATTGTCCTGTAGCAAGTTCAGTTCATTAAAAGCCTTACTGATGTGCATATATCTTTGGACCCCAAAATTTACAGTGGCAAAAATAAGAAATACATCTCCATGAGGGCAAAAGCAATCAAAGGAAAGCAAAATGAAAGCTTTCATCTGGTTCCAGCCAGAATCTGTATTGCTTGGGCCCTACCCGGATTGGTTTCACAGGGTGCTGTGAGCAAGTGCCACACAACTGGATGGCTCAGAGCAACAGAAATGCGTTGTCTCAAGTTCTGGAGGACAGAAGTTTGAGGTCTAGGTGGCAGCAGGGCCACGCTCCCTGTGCAGGCACTAGGGAAGGGTGTGTTCCAGGCCTTGCTCCGAGCGTCTGGGAGCCTCGGGAGCTCCTGGCTTACAGATGGCAGCCTTCTTCCTGGGCTTCCCCACATTGTGCCCTTCATGCATGTTTGTCTCTGGGGCCGAATGTCCCCTTTTATAAGGACACCAGTCATAGTGGATCAGGTCCCACCGGAATGACCTCATTCCCACTTGATTACCTCTGTAAAGAACCTACCTCCAAATAAGGTCCCATGCTGAGGTCCAGAGGGTAGGACTCCAGCATCTTTTTGGGAAGACACAATCTGACCCATAGCACCACGCTTTGCTTAAAATAACAGAGCCCTGCCAAGGAGTCTCCTGAGTATAAGGCCCCAGGCCTGTGTTTGGGGCCTGGGATTGGGATGGTGCTCGGAAGAGCAACCCTTGAACAGAATGGAATCACAACCTCAGTCTCCATGGCCAGTGTGGGCCTCTCTATTACTGGGTGGCGTCCTCCTGTCCCTGCAGGGACCCACAGACAGGGCTCCACTGCGCTGACCCGGGAACCTCCCGTGAAACAAAGCCTCGTCCATGCCCCTCACAAGTGCCTCCCGAGTCCTCAACGGCTCTCGGCACCTCAGAGCCCAGTGACCCCTCTGGCACAGACAGAAATTGTGCTGAAGGGCAGAAGCTGGCCCCACCACCTCATGTGACAGGCAGGGAACAAGTCCTTTCTACTCCAGTTTTTAGCCTCCGCAGGGCTCGGTTTTGGCCTGTGAAATGAGAGCAGGGAGGCGGGAGAGGTCGAAGCCGGAGCCCACGCCCCGTGAGGAGAAGAGCGAGATGGGGGTGAGAGCCCCCATCCCGTTTCTCCCCATAGCACAGACTGAGCGTGAGTGACATTTCAACGTTGTGCAGTTTAGAAAGCACGAAAATCCACAGAGCTCTGTCATCTTTAAGGCATCTTCTAGCTCTCGGGTTCTATCATGTTTGGAGGAAAGACACACAGAGTCACTGAAACGTTTTATGCTGGAGACGTGGGTACTCCCACGGAGGCAGCATGACGCCCTGATCAGAGGCAGGGTCCGCTCTGGCGTTCGCTGCTTTTGTTAAGAAACATGCCCTTGACTCTCACCAGCTCAGTGACCTAAGACAAGTTACATAACCTCCTTGGTGACTCAGTTTCTCAGTCCTATTCCTCTGAGGACCCACAGGCTTCTCTGTTACCGGGTGGCGTCCTCCTGTCCCTGCAGGGACCCATAGACAGGGCTCCACTGCGCTGACCCGGGAACCTCCCGTGAAACAAAGCCTCGTCCACACCCCTCACAAGTGCCTCTGAGTCTTTAATGGCTCCTGGCACCTCAGAGCCGAGATTAATAGTTTTTATCTAGAACAGGGTCTGGCAAACACCAGGTGCTAAGAGTATTCTGCTATTCTTGGCCCTCAGGATGCATCCTTGACAACTCTCCGTGTAGGCATCTTCTCCCCCCGCCATGGTCGCAATATGCTGCCATCCCTGTAGTAAATGGTTGAATCAATGAATGACTCACAGAAACAAACTCGTTTGATTTTTGGCAAGTTTATCTTTTTGTCCCCAAAAGACGTCTTTGTCTTTCTCTGCCCTGGAGCTGTCCCATCTCTCGTTTTATTTCTGGCTCAAATCTACGTACTTAAAATATATGTGTGTGTTACATTTCCAGCCATCTGTCTCGTACCTCCATTTCTGTCGGCATATATCAGCTTTCCTGGCAACAGCTAGTGAACAAAGCACGATAAATCAGTGCTTTCTTACCGACTATTGTTAACTGATCATGGAATAGTGTGGCTTTCTTACTGCCCACCTGGGTTACAGATGATATTTTCATCCCTGAAATTGAGGGCAAACTTCCGCAAGGAAAGAATAGGCATAACGGAGAGAGAGAGACAGACAAACTAAAATTTCTAGTGTGAGAAGAAAGCTCTATTTTAAGATTCAGATTTAAAGAATCACAGAATATGGGTGATGAGGGTATCTTTCTCCTTCATTTTACAAATAAAGAAACAAAAGCCCAGGGAGGCAAAATGATTATGTCCCAGCCCCAGAGCGAATAGGCGGCAACCTGGCCCACACCCTGTCTCCTGCCCCTTCTCCAGTTTTCTTTCCATTGCACCCACTGCAACTGAAACCCTA